ATAGAAGAAATTATTTCTCTCAGGGGTCAGGGAATGGAGTTGGACAGTTTTCCCTGAGAAAACAATTCTTAAGAGATAGCATGTATGCTGTACTCCCCTTACTAATATTTACATTTTTTTCTTTTTCTCTTTGCCCTGTTTATAATCTTTTTCATATGCCTATGGAATCCAGAGTTACCTTTGAGTTTTGACCTGTGTATAGATAGTTATTTTATTGTTAGTGTCTTCATGTTTATTTCAAAGAGCATTCAAAGCCCTCAAAATGACTCACACCTAGTTTATTTAAAACTATGACTTCCCCTATTTTATATAGCCAGTTTTTATTATGGGTTCTGTTTTATGCTATCATCATACTGAGTTGCTAAAAGCCTGGAACTATGCTATGTATTCCTTTTTGTCTTCAAACATCTCATTTAGGTCTCAAGAGACTGTTGACCCCAATGGATATTCTCATATGGCCGCATTATATCACTAAATATCATATTTCAAAATGATCATATATGAGAAAGCAAACCGCTTTAATTATAGTCGCCTCGATAGTTTGCTGAGGAAGTCAGGTCTTTCCGAGGTAGTTTCCACCAGCAAGCCAGCAACTTTGGAAACTTGAAAGAAAATGCAAGATCTACAGAATGAGCGTATGGCCAAATACATACAGTGTACAAGCATGCACTTGTTCCCACTATGTAATACTTCTATGTTGCATTATTGAGATATCTAAAAACCTTAGACTCAGCATCAACCCTATTTTCTTAAAGGCTAAAAGAATTTCTGGTTGCAGAGTACAAAATTCTAATATTACAGTCAAAGTACAATTACGAATAAAGTATATGTGTGTGTGTATATATATGTGTGTGTGTGTGTGTATGAGTTGTATTTTAATAGCCACACAGATGTAGTGTTTAAATAGTCTATGTTATCTATTAATCTTTTTCAAGTAAACATTGTCCTACTTCAAACTATTTGACAAAAATGAATTATTCTACTAAATAATTAAGGCTTACCCAGTGGGAAAGATTTTTGTCCCAGAAATGTCAAATTGTTAATTAGTTTTTCTGCTCTACGGTCTATATTTAGGGAAGGCTATGCCCTCCCGTGAAATTCAATGAATAGCAGAGAACAACCCGGAACCCAGGAGAAGGCAGGCCAAGGCCCCCAAATCAACTTGTCAGTGACTTCCTGGGGATGCCCCCATCAGGGAAGCCTTTGTCCTTTCCTGACCTCAACTCACTTGCCTGTTACTGTGATGAATGTCAGAACCTGTCAGAAGGAAGAGACTAGGGAGTACAAGAGGCAGGATGTTAACCACTGAGGAAATAAAATTCAGTCAAAAGGACTTCAGATGTTTAACAATTCTGTTTGCATCTACAGGGATCCATTCTTCTATGCAATAGTCCTATTAACCTGAAACTGGAATTAGGGAGATTAAATGAAAAGACAGGAAGGAGAGTACAAGAAAACCTTGAACCACTTTGGTCAATAAAGAATTGGAATAAATGGAGTCAATTTCAGTATTTGTTACACTTAGGCTGGTCAAGTGGTGCAGTGGTTAAGGTAGCTGGATCCTACAGAGCCGAGAGCCCGTACCCCAGTGCTTTAAAAAACATGCAAGGCATGTGTGTGGGGGGTGCTTGAAATCCCAAGAAGAATCACATTCCTGCTGAAGAGTGATTTCTCACTTTTCCTCTCTCTCTGTCTTTTTCTGAGGAGCACATGTACCCTATAGCAAATTTATAAAAATAAAATTGCTATACTTTTCTTTGGTTTTCCTAATATAAAAGGAGACATATGAGAAAAAAACAACTATTATGTTTTTGCCTGTTTCTCAGGTATTTGAGGGGTACGAAAAAGATCTTCCTTTCATAATGCCTATGCTGGCATTTTCATTATGATGTCATTTAATATAGGTATATATGTTGCAGGTCAAAAATTCCAAAAGTGAAGTTCACTGATTATGTGAAGGTACTTAATAAAAAACCATAGCTTAAAAGCTAAAAAAGAAAAATCACTGCTACAAAGGTGAGATGTAATAAAGGGAAGAACAGAGGGAGACCTAGAGTCTGATGAAGCATATATACTTGGGGGCTAGCAGGGAGAAAATTTACTAGTCAGGGGTGTTAACTCTCACAAAAGAGAACGTAACTGGTTCGATTATAATAACGGAAAAGAAAGTAAAAACGACCTTTTTTATTTTATAACTGTTTGTAAACTATAAAAATAGCAATGCCTGCAGTTAGACTGCCCTAAATGAATTCTTCCTTGCTTATTATTATTGCAAAAACAGGAATTTTTCTGGATAGAATAAAATAAACTAACATTTCCAAAGACCAACTATGGGTAAGATGTTAGGCTAGTGGTAGTGGACAATTTAAAATAACAAAAGCACAAGGCATGGCTCCAGGCTTTTAGGGATTTTTAGAAAATTTACTGAGTGAGGACCAGTGGTGGCATGGTGGTTAGGACGCTGGACTCACACATGGCCAACTGTAGTTTAGGGCTCAGACCTGGAGGCTTGTTTTCTCACTTTCTCTCTCTCTCTGTCTCTGTCTCTCTGTCTCTCTCACTCTCTAGTGGGCACATGTGCCCTTATAACAAATTAAAAACTAATAATAATAATAAATAAAATAAAGTAAACAATTTTTAAAAAAGAAAACTTACAGAAAGAAGCAAGATTAAGAAATGAAAACCAAATAAATAAGGAGAATTTCATGCCCTGACTGGAACCATGTTTGCCATACAGGTGGAGTGATACATTTTAGGAAATTTTCAAGTCACTCTTTACATAAAGACTCATTTTACACCGACAATGTGAATAAAGAGTATCTTCATCATCATCACCTTACAATTCAGAAAGCAAAACAGTATATTATATGTGAATCTGAAGACTGTTACAAAGAATTCTCAGTGTCAGAAAAGCAAAGGAGGTCTTTAAAGGAGGTGAGGAAATAAAAGCTAATTCATTTTTAAATTTCTGGGTTTAAAGAAACAAACAATATCTTGAAGAAAGAACTCAACAAGTACCTCAGTTGCATGGGCAAATGCAAATAAAGAAAACCACAACTACAACCACACTCAACCAATACCAATCAGAGTAGGGTTCCTTGTGGGGTCTCTTTGGGGATTGGTGGAAAATGCATTTTTAAATCTGAAATCTGTTTTCATGCTTATCCAAAATCTTCAAAGGTAGATGAAGGGGGCAGGGGAGGCAGGTGCTATATAAAAAAAGTGCCCTTGAGAGTTATAAATTTCATACTCATATGAAAACGCCATAGGTAAGGAAACTTACCAGATTTGGCATCTGATCTTTAGTAATGGACCCAGAAGCAACTTTGGTTTATTTGGATTACTATACTGCAAGTCCAGACCCTGATATCAAGGAGACCCACCCCCATGCTCCTTACACATCTGTCTTCCTTCCCATCTTTTATACAGCTGTGTTCCTGACCGGAGTGCTGGGGGAGTGATTTCTCACTTTTCCTCTCTCTCTGTCTTTTTCTGAGGAGCACATGTACTCTATAACAAATTTATAAAAATAAAATTGCTATACTTTTCTTTGGTTTTCCTAATATAAAAGGAGACATATGAGAAAAAAACAACTATTATGTTTTTGCCTGTTTCTCAGGTATTTGAGGGGTACGAAAAAGATCTTCCTTTCATAATGCCTATGCTGGCATTTTCATTATGATGTCATTTAATATAGGTATATATGTTGCAGGTCAAAAATTCCAAAAGTGAAGTTCACTGATTATGTGAAGGTACTTAATAAAAAACCATAGCTTAAAAGCTAAAAAAGAAAAATCACTGCTACAAAGGTGAGATGTAATAAAGGGAAGAACAGAGGGAGACCTAGAGTCTGATGAAGCATATATACTTGGGGGCTAGCAGGGAGAAAATTTACTAGTCAGGGGTGTTAACTCTCACAAAAGAGAACGTAACTGGTTCGATTATAATAACGGAAAAGAAAGTAAAAACGACCTTTTTTATTTTATAACTGTTTGTAAACTATAAAAATAGCAATGCCTGCAGTTAGACTGCCCTAAATGAATTCTTCCTTGCTTATTATTATTGCAAAAACAGGAATTTTTCTGGATAGAATAAAATAAACTAACATTTCCAAAGACCAACTATGGGTAAGATGTTAGGCTAGTGGTAGTGGACAATTTAAAATAACAAAAGCACAAGGCATGGCTCCAGGCTTTTAGGGATTTTTAGAAAATTTACTGAGTGAGGACCAGTGGTGGCATGGTGGTTAGGACGCTGGACTCACACATGGCCAACTGTAGTTTAGGGCTCAGACCTGGAGGCTTGTTTTCTCACTTTCTCTCTCTCTCTGTCTCTGTCTCTCTGTCTCTCTCACTCTCTAGTGGGCACATGTGCCCTTATAACAAATTAAAAACTAATAATAATAATAAATAAAATAAAGTAAACAATTTTTAAAAAAGAAAACTTACAGAAAGAAGCAAGATTAAGAAATGAAAACCAAATAAATAAGGAGAATTTCATGCCCTAACTGGAACCATGTTTGCCATACAGGTGGAGTGATACATTTTAGGAAATTTTCAAGTCACTCTTTACATAAAGACTCATTTTACACCGACAATGTGAATAAAGAGTATCTTCATCATCATCACCTTACAATTCAGAAAGCAAAACAGTATATTATATGTGAATCTGAAGACTGGTACAAAGAATTCTCAGTGTCAGAAAAGCAAAGGAGGTCTTTAAAGGAGGTGAGGAAATAAAAGCTAATTCATTTTTAAATTTCTGGGTTTAAAGAAACAAACAATATCTTGAAGAAAGAACTCAACAAGTACCTCAGTTGCATGGGCAAATGCAAATAAAGAAAACCACAACTACAACCACACTCAACCAATACCAATCAGAGTAGGGTTCCTTGTGGGCTCTCTTTGGGGATTGGTGGAAAATGCATTTTTAAATCTGAAATCTGTTTTCATGCTTATCCAAAATCTTCAAAGGTAGATGAAGGGGGCAGGGGAGGCAGGTGCTATATAAAAAAAGTGCCCTTGAGAGTTATAAATTTCATACTCATATGAAAACGCCATAGGTAAGGAAACTTACCAGATTTGGCATCTGATCTTTAGTAATGGACCCAGAAGCAACTTTGGTTTATTTGGATTACTATACTGCAAGTCCAGACCCTGATATCAAGGAGACCCACCCCCATGCTCCTTACACATCTGTCTTCCTTCCCATCTTTTATACAGCTGTGTTCCTGACCGGAGTGCTGGGGAACCTGGTCCTCATGGGTGCGTTGTATTTTAAGCAGGGCACCCGAAGACTGATTGACATCTTCATCATCAACCTGGCTGCTTCCGACTTCATTTTCCTTGTCACATTGCCCCTCTGGGTGGACAAAGAGGCATCTCTAGGACTGTGGAGGACGGGCGCCTTCCTGTGCAAAGGCAGCTCCTACATGATCTCAGTCAACATGCACTGCAGTGTCTTCTTGCTCACTTGCATGAGTGTTGACCGCTACCTGGCCATCATGTGCCCAGCCATAGCCAGGCAAGTCAGAAGGAGAAACTGCGCCTATGGAGTCTGTGCCTGTGTCTGGTTTATCTCCTGCCTCCTGGGGCTGCCTACTCTCCTCTCCAGGGAACTCACGCTGATTGATGATAAGCCATACTGCGCAGAGAAGAAGGCAAGTTTCATCAAGCTGGCCTGGGCCCTGGTGGCCTTAATTGTCACCTTTTTTGTCCCCTTGCTGAGCATCGTGACCTGCTACTGTTGCATCACAAAGAAACTGTGTACTCATTACCAGCAGTCAGGAAAGCATAACAAAAAGCTGAAGAAATCCATCAAGATCATCTCTATTGTGGTAGCAGCCTTTGTGGTGTGCTGGCTGCCCTTTAATTCTTTCAAGCTCCTGGCCATTGTCTCCGGGTTGCAGCAAGAACTCTATTTTTCTTCAGCCATTCTTCGGCTGGGCATGGAGGTGAGTGGGCCCTTGGCATTCACTAACAGCTGTGTCAACCCTTTCATTTACTTTATCTTTGACGGCTACATCCGCCGGGCCATCATACACTGCTTGTGCCCTTGCCTGAAAAAGTATGATTTTGGGAGCAGCACGGAGACGTCAGATAGTCATCTCACTAAGGCTCTCTCCAACTGCATTCATGCAGAGGGTGATACCAGGAGGAGGAAGAGGTCTGTGTCGCTCTAAAATGAATTGTGACATTTCAAGCTCTGGTGGTGGGTTAGGAAGCTGATTTTTGTCACACGAAAAGAGGAGAAATGTATTAATGATAGGATTTGTATTGCTTCCTAAGTTCAAGAGTTCATTTTTTAACAGGACTGAAAAGTCCCTGTGTTGTGGATATAATTAGGTCATGTGCTGTTTTTTTCAGTCGAGCCCTCATTTGATCCTTGCCAGTCAAATTCACTAGGCAAAATACAATTCCCATCTGTCCTTGAACTGTCAGATAAAGGCTCCTGCTTGAAGATTCCTCATGATTGTTAATACACTTTCAGAACTTTCCTCTCTCAAAAACCATGGTTTTACCTTCACCCACACCACTTTTCAGACTGAGCTACATGTTGGACTATGCTTAAAAGATTCTGCCTACTTTCATCTGGTAAAAAAAATGTGGTGACAATGCAGGAAACAAAAATTATAATGTACCCGCACTCTGTAATTAATTGTTCCTGAGTTACTAAACTGGATTCTGCCCTCAGTCTTTAAAGCTTTGTACAGTGGTTCCTCATCCTCTTCCAATATTCATCTTATGCCCATTCACAGTGACTATGAACTGGAAAAAACTCATGAAGTAAAATTATGCTGCATTGTTTTTATAACTTTGGACTTACTTTATCACCTGGTCTTCCAGAGTATTTTAACAAATAAGCGTGGTGCAAGATTTGACCTTTGCCTTATGAGATACATTAGTAGAAATGTAATGTGTAGCAATTACTTTTAATGGGACTTTACTTTGCTCTTTTGTTTTCATTGCCTTTACAAATTAGAATTTGACTTTAGTTTAATTACATGTTTTCAGTTACCCAGTTATCTAGTTATCAAATAAAAATGTTACTCTTAATATAATTAGAGCTCATTAAATGATTAGTTCCACCCCCCCATGCAGATTATCATTTAGTATTTTAATTAAAATGTTACTGCTACGCATTCCCTAGAGCACCATTTGCTTAGCTCCGGGTATATATAAATTAAAATGTTACTGCTACGCATTCCCTAGAGTACCATTTGCTTAGCTCTGGGTGTATATAGTTCCAAGATGCACTCCAGGAACATCAGGAGACAGACTGCTCTGTATTCAGCCAAAGTGAAAAATCTGTAACGAAGATATTACTAGTATTTTATGTTTTCCTTCAAACCCAGAGAGCTTCCTGAATTCCTTCTGCCAATAAATATTTATTGAGTCAATTTGTTCCTATCTCCCATTTAGAGACTTTGAAGTGAAGAACATGTAATTAGCAGCAACCAAAAAAGCCTTTGCAGCACCAAACATGCTATTGTAAACATCGTTTTGATTCAAGACAAAGTGGGTCATGTTTTTTATTGTTCACTCTAACAAGTTACCATTTTACTTCTGAATATTAGGTTTGAAGATCAGAAAAGTCTCAGCATCTTTTCGGAGACTAGGTCACTCATTTCATACCACATATCTTTTGCATTAAGAGAAATCCCAGATATTAGACATGTCCTATTATAATCTACCTAGAAGTTGTAAATATGATTTTTGGTTTTATACATTTGTTAATTTGTTAATTTTTAAAAACCCTTTATTAAATAAAAATGTAAAATTTTATATAAGTATTTTTATGCTGAAATTATTAATTTCTACCAATATATTAGTATTAATTAATACTTATATTCTAACAACATTTTAATAAATTATAATAGCCATAAGGGGAAAAGGCTATGTCAATTATAACAAATGAAGTTTCTTGGATAACTGCAAAACTAAATTCAAAATAGTTGAATAGCTCTCCAAAGCTTTAACAAAAACAAAGTATAGAAGACACGCACTTTTTTATCAAAACAAATCAGCAAAAGTAATGTTACTAATCATGACAGTTGTTGCCTTTGAAAAATACTATCTTTTAAAAAATAGCTGAACTGATCAACTCAGGTATTTGCTAGGAGATAACGTTGGTTGTTGGTGTTTGCTTCATCTCAAATGTGACATTGAGAAAGTCATTTTAATCCTTTCCACCCTAATATAGCCGGTAATACCTATGTGCACAGAAGGACAAGGGTGTGGTAAGACTAGTAAGTATAACTAAAAAGCTTTCTAAAATATTGAATAAAGAGATACTGTATAAAGTGATGAGATTTCTATTATTAATTATTGAATGTATCTGTAAAATTCCCAAGGTAGAATCCCAAATGATACCTAATCACTCTCTTTAATAGTCAGGGAGAATCTGCGTATTCCATTTCTTCAGCTTTTGATGAGAATATTTAAATTACACCAAATAAATATATTGCTGCACATTTCACACTTCAAATAGATATGACAGTCACATGCATTAAGAAATTTTTAGATTATTTTTATATTCATAATGTGCCAGTTGTGGAAGCAAAAGTAGATATAAATTTATAGATAGAATAACTCTGATAGAAAAAAGTTTAAAACTTGACAAAGTTCAAATATTATCTTGTCACATGTACGTTCTTCCAGTATAAATTATAATCCACACTACAAAGCATCACCAAGTTTACTACAACTTATTAATACAAAGATTTTTTAAAAAATTTTTGGAGAGGTTTTTGCTATAGGGCACGTGCCCTCGCCAGACAGACAGAGAGACAGAAAGCGAGAAATCACCCCCCAGGGAGATGGCCATGCCACAATCCCTTCTCCCCCATTCTCCTCTCGGGCTCTTGGGCACGCACGCCCAGGCGCCCGGTGTGAGTTTAAGCCACCAGGTCCGGTACTCGAACCGTGGTGGACTACATGGGAGTCCAGTCATTATGCTAACTGCTGGTCCCAAGATTTAAATTTTTTGCACCAAAGTAAACATATTCTTCAATTCCATTTCCATGAATTGTTTAAGTCTGCTCAGAACAAATTAACACATATGGCCAAGAATTTCCAGAAATTAATCTGACATTTTAATATAATCATGCCTTGCTGATTACATCTAAAGTTGGAAAAACAAAAAATGTACAGAAAAATCACTATAGATTAGCATTACTTATCATTTGCTTAAGTAGTCCAAAGCTACTGTGAGGTCTGCAATAACAAATACAGGAGGATAGTAATCTCCCAAGCATTTGTCAAGTAAATGTTCTTGAAGTTTTCCCAGAAAAGCTCTCCATTAAACCCTGGGTAAAGTGCCACCTGATAATTTACAATTAATTTTAAACTAAATGTATTTAAGCCAGCCCACGGCATAGTGGCTAAGGTAGCTAAATCTCACATGCCCAACTGTGCAGTTCAAGTCCCAGACCCAGTAGCATGAAAAACATGCCAGACTGATATGGGATGTCCAAAATCCTAATAGGAGAATAGAGAAGGGATTATGGTGTGACCATTCCCCATGGGAGGTGCTCTCTCTCTTTCTCTCTCTCTCCCCCCTCCTTTCTCTCCAGTGAGTCCATGCACCCTCTAGAAAAATTTAAAATACTAATAATAAATAAAATAAGTGTACTTAAGGTGCACATAGTCACAAACACACATATACTCCACCAAGGCCATACTGAAAGATTAAAAATTAAAACTAACCTTACATTCTTGGAGTCTCATAGTCTGTGCATTCCAGCAAGACAAAAATCACTTCTGTGGTGAACTAAAGTTAAATGAGCAGTCTTAAAGGGATGCTATGTGCGTGACAAAGAGTAGACGATTGTTAGGGGTGACAGGTTAATTTTAAAATAGGTGCAGAAATGCACAGCATTATGGTAAGGTGAGGTGGAAGAAATCTTCCTCTATGATTCATCTCGACTCCTCAAATCACTCTCTATTCTCCTTGGTAATCTCAGAAGTGAGAAATGATTTGTCAAATATATATGCCACAGGGAACAGTAAGCTTAGATTGTCAGCTCATTCACAAAGTCAAGCAACACTAAAAGAATTAAAAATGTACTTCGAAAACCAGGCCTCTGGTGTAGGTATAGCCTGTGAGCAAGACAATGATTTCAGCCCCATTAGAGAGAAAGAAGCTATCAAGGAGGAAAAAAAAAAAAAAAGGCAAGAGAGTAATTCTAATTACCAAAATATTTGCAAACAGTTGCTGATTACTGCAAGCTCCCTTTTGGGGTTGGTGTGGATTGAATTTTCCCCTGCAAACTCCTGTAGTTGTTTCAGACCCTTTTCTTTGAGTCAGTATTCTTTATTTTATCAATTCCAGGAGTAAACAATTACGAATGGACTTTCTATGCAGGTGTGAGGAGAAACAGTACCAGCATCCTCATTTTATACTGCAGACACAAAAATCCACCTGAGGATGAGTTACCCATGTTGGTTCATGTTATCCTTGTCATTTCCTTAATAGAGTTAGATTTCCTAAATGTATTTGATAAGTGTAAACTTCATTCTAAGACAAACCTACAGCATTAAAAAACAAAAAAAAAAAAAAAAAAAAACAGAAACAAAAAAACCCTATTTTGGAATGTGACAAGCCAATGTGACAAACTTTTAATAAAGGTTCTTGTGACTAGCCAAGTCATAGTGAAATACAAACTCACATAAAATGTCCCTGTATCAATCTGAATGTGGGGATAGTATTCTGTTAGTTGACAGACATTAAACTGAAAAGTTCTTGATTCACTTACATGAATACTAATTTTCTAAGATCCAAACATACTTTAAAACTACAACGAAACTTTGTGAGTTGCCCATGTGCAATTAAGTGGAATTGTGGCTAACTTAGGCCAAGTGGTCCATTGAAGGATTTATAATACAATGTTAATGTTATTCGCATAATTCTCTGCAAACCTAGAAAGGATGTCATCCACCTGATATTATTCAGTAATTTTTTTTATTTGCGAATTAGAAAGATTCTATATAATAAGCTAGTTTGTCATCTCCATGTTAACCAAGTTAGACATAAACTATGAACACTTCATGTTTGAATATATCAAAAGTTATCCTTACTTGTATATTCATGATCTGTATTCAATAAATGCACTCTTCCATTTGCTCTTAATTGTATACAAAGCAGATGATATAGGATATTCTCATGACGCTCATAGACAATAAAATCTTATGCATCAAAAACTATGTATGGACCAGCCATCGTGGCACAGCCATAGAACAGTGCACTGCAAAGCTAGAAGCTATATGGAAGACCAGGGTTCAGTTCCTGGGTCACCCAGTACACAATGGGCACACAAGTGCATGACCTTGATCCTGGCTGGCTGAGAAAGATTAGGGCAGGGAATAGATCAATGCATGAAACCCTGATAAGAATGCTAATCTTTCTATCTTTCTCTCTCTCTTTCACAAAATAAATGAACCTTTAAACACTTATTTATGACTAAAGATTTTAGTTTTAATTTTAAAAACAAATTTCTGTGACAGAATCTTGAAAAAGCAGCTCAGCTCTTTTTCTTATAAAGCAGAGATTCTTTGCAATTAATAATTGTCCTTTGCAAAACCTTTAAAAATACCTAAATTTGCCAGTTACAATATAGCGTGTAGTAGAGGTAAGAATTTAGTTACATGTCCTACTTTCAGAGCTACTGTATAATGTATAGAAAATAAAGCTGAATTGTTATGTATCGGTCCTTAATACTCAGCTTCAAGACCAGCATGTGGCATAGTGATTTGGGGCACTGGACTTCCACATGGCAGACTGTAGTTCGAGTTCCGGGACCAGGAGGCTTGAAACATACCAGGTGCATGTGCGTGCATGACCAAAATCCCAAGAGGAGAATAGAGAAGGGATTGCTATGTGGCCATCTCCCTAGGGGCAGGGGGGCGGGGGGTGATTTCTCACTTTCTCTCTCTCTCTGTGTCTCCAGTAAGTGCACACACCATATAGCAAAAATCTCTCTCAACTAGTTAACTGAATTGTTCCTCATTGTATCATAGGTCAGTGGTTTAAATTTATACTTTTTGTGCCATAGACCCATGA